GGGGGGTGTTCATGAACCAAAGGTCTCAAAGGTCTTTGTACTCAGACTTCTTGGAGCTGCCACCCCAGGTGTGGCCTTTTGCCTCTTGGCCTCCCGAGTCCCAGTAGGCTGCAGCCCCACCACTTCCTGACTGTGGGACCTTGAACCAGTGACTTAACCTTGTTTCCCTGCCTGTCAGGAGAGCCCTGCCACTTCTGGGTTCTTGGCTGAGATACATAGGCCATCTCAACCATGGTGGCAAAGCTCAGCCATGGGGGAGAAGAAAAAACGCCAGCAGTTGGCCACTGGTTGTATACCAGGCACCGCACATTCAGCATCTGCCGTTTCTGCTGGTTGCTCTGTGGTGGGCGTCACCCCGTCTCATAGCAGAGGAAACACTGACGTGGTGACCAGGCCGTGTGTGAGCCCTACCACTGTCCCCCAGCCCTCACTCCTTAACACAGGAGTTCTGCCCTGCCCCAAAGCAAGATAGAAGGCGGTGGGTAGGTGGCCTTGAAGGCTCACCTGCTAGGGGCAAAGCTTGGATGGGCCCTTGTCCAAGTGTCTTGAAGCCCTGGCGCCCACTGGGGCTGGGGCCAGCCTCTTCCTGGGGGAAATGGGGTGCCCCAGGGCAGAGTTCTGGGAAATCAGGTTTATTAGCTTCTTAATGACTGTTTACAAGCTGCAAAGTGTTTGCCTGGCATGTTCCTTCCCCGCTGAGGGGCTCCATGCAGTCAGAAGCAGATCTGAGCCTCAGACAGAGACTGCCCAGCGCCCAGTCCTGAGTGTGTCAAGGGCAATGACAGGGTGGCCTGCAACTCTTTAGAGCTTTGAGTATTCACACCTGGCCCTGCCATCACCTGCTTCTGACTGACACTGGGCAAGGTACTTACTTCAGGAGGATAGGGTGAGACTTTGTCTCTCAGCTGAGCATGCTGAATGACACATTATTTGTAACAGAGACACCCAGGGTCTCAGACTATCGGGAGGCTACTTAACATCTTCTGTATAAACAAAAACAAAGCTCAGAGATATTAAGTGACTTGCCTAAACTTGCACAGCTGGTGCTGTGACCCTGTCTCCCCTAGTCAGGCAGTTTCCATATCTGTAGCCACACCCTCAAGGAGGCAGCTGAAAACTGGGTGGGCTGTGGACTTACAGGCATTAGACAGAATCCCAGCTGTCGGGGGCGGGGGTCACACCTTGGCATGACACGGAGCCACTTTATCAGTGGAAGTAAAGCATACCTCCCCTGCTCTACCCTTCCCCCCAAGTGGCACCCCATCCTGCTCCACCTACTGGGCATGTACTAGACCACAACTGGTTCCAAAAACCAGTGAAAA